ACCCGTCGTGCGGCCCACTTACGTGGCCCTTGAGGAACAACGACTAGTTGGGCACGCGCGTGAGCTTGCAGGAGTGTGTGTGCGGTCTGGTCCAGCGGTTCAAGGTAATCGTGTGAGGACAGCCACAGCAGAGGCAAGACCTCGCGGCAGTCCGCATTGACAATGCAATCATTATGGCAGTCGGCCACAGGCACGACGCGTGAGGACAGCCTGTAAGGTTATGTTGGCATTCAGTTAGGTTAGGCTCCAAACAGCTGCCAGACGATTGTAACCAAATACCTACACACGCACACACGTAACTTACTATTAACTGGAATTTTTTAAATTGTACACACTAAAGCTTTCACAAATAATTAAAAAGCACCCATGTCCACACGCATACAGAGGTTGATGAAAAATTACAATGGAGGATTGTGATTGTACTAAAAGAACGATATACAATTTTTTCAAATAGGGCTCGAGGAATGATAGAAGGAGAAGGGACATTCCAAACGCATTTTATAAGGAACGTTAAACCCTCCACCCCCCCACCCCCCAAAAAAAGAGGAAACAGGGACAGTTAGCGAGAGTCAATCAAAAATGTATCTGCGGCTTTAGCAGCTTTACTGAATCATTCGAACAAGAGGTGGCAGGTACCTTGACATTTAAGTGTTGCGGACGTCAAAATGACTGACAATTTGTAAGGGTCACAAGCACCACGATCCGACGGTCCGCACAAAATCGTAGTAGCCTGCAGACCGGATAATAAAGGAAAAACCCCAGCCTCTACGCAATTTTTATAGACCAGAATCACAAACCGGTACCACGCTTGTTCGGAATTCCTGTCAATTAGTGACGTTGTCTGTTGGTGAATACCCCGTCAAGAGACAAATTGACATGCTCCAGGCAGCAGCTGAATTCAGCAGTAATTTAGTCTGTATTTTTGCATGCGGCTGAACATGGTGTGCTGCTGCTCTTGTTGCTCAAATTTGCAGCCCTTTACCAATCAGAGTGCAAGCTCTTCATTTTTCTTCACCAGCAACCTGTTTTTTTCTACAAAATGACAAAAAGCAGTGCACACGACGAACCTTTGTAATCACAAATTCCGGCAGGGATAAAGTGCCTTGACGAACTTGTTCTGCCACAGTGCGCAAATGTGTGTGGATCTGATCCAGCACCTCCTCACTCGGCTTGCCCGAGAGTAAGGCGTCAACACAGGCCCTGCCGACCTGGGCGGCAAGTCGACACCAATCGCGGCGCACAATGTCCAAACCTTTCAGCTCGGCCTTTGTAGGCGGGGGCGGCAATGCAGCCACGGTGCCACCGTTCTGGTCCTGAGAGGGCTGCCGTGCACGCAGCTTTTCCGCGTATGCCAGAGGGT